AGATAGATAGATAGATAGATAGATAGATAGATAGATACATAGATAGATAGATAGACTTTATTCATCCCAAGCAGGCAAATGGCAGTGTAGCAGCAGCTTTGCACATAGTGACAGTCACAACACATTGAGGTAAAAAGTAAAATAACATCTAGCTTTAAAACTTCAGGAAAAAAACAGGCAAAGAAAAAAATTGGGGAAAAAACAGGAAAAAAAATAGAAAAGCTGCAGGAAAAAAATGGTAATTTGATGTAATTTTTTCATCCAAGTTGAGTCACTTTTCAGCCTTAACTGTTGTCAGCTGTCATTAGTAATTCAGTGGATATTTAGTGAGTTACAATGAGGCAGAAAAGCTGTTTCAGAGGAAAGAACGTCTCTTCTAACATGATTTCCTGCTCTTAACCTGTTTATTGAAGGAAAAGTGGGTTTTTTTAAATATTCACCTGTATGAAACTCCTGTGGAGTCACTTTGCACATCTGGCATGTCGGGTCCATGAATTCCAATTTCCAATCATCATCAATTTTCTCCAAACAAACATTGGCTCCATCTTAAAGTGTGTGGTGGTGTCTGTGCAGAGACCCAGCTGAGACACCTACAGGACCTGGGCTTTAGGAAAGAGGACTGCATGGCTGCTCTGAGACACTGCAAAGGTGAGCCCCCTCTTTTGCCTATTCCACCCCTCCCCTGGAGCCAGAGGGAGTGTTGGGTGTAGCTGTGGGTGTATTTGTCGTGTAGGCCAGCTGGACCAGGCTGCCACCTGGCTGCTGGAGAACGCTGAGAGCATGGCTGGACAGCCCAGGACCAGAGCTGGCTCTGACAGCCACAGCCACTCTGCCCCCCTCTCAGGGGTGGAGGTCAAGGCTGAGAGCGTCTGCATCTGCTTCATCGACGACTGCCTGGACTGTGACATCCCCCTGGCAGAGCTCACCTTCTCCAGTAAGTGGTCCCGAACACAGGCCACCATGTGCACGTGCACGAGAGGCCAGCTGCTAACCACCACGAGCAAATCCCAACAGCAAGTATCTCCCAGCTTTCCAAACAGAGCAGCTCAGACTCTGAGTTATTTACAGAAGAACAACAATTCCCACCAAGAGCAACACTAGGAGACACAGGGAGGGAAAAACTTCCTATTAAGAGGTGGAAACCTGGAGCAGAATCAATTTCACCTAATTGGTCTAAAAAGTATTTTTGATAACGAATTAATTATCTGCAAATAATCTGCCGTTTCCGAGTGTCTGTGCTGTAGCAGTGACTAGTGTCATGTCATAATTCTTTATCACTAGATGATATGCGGATTGCATTGTACGTTAAAACAATTAGTGATGCATGACTTTGATGACGGTGATGATGGAGAAGTTTTTGAAAAGACAGAATTAGAGGTTGTAAAACACTTTGAGGTTTTCTACAACCTCTTTACATTTAGGACCACATTGTTGTGGCCCTGTTCCCGGTCTGTTTTTGAAGTGGACAGAACCCTAACCCTAACCAATTAGAAAGAAGAAATATCAAATATGATAAAAAAATACATTTTTGTGTTTATTTGATTCCTATTCAGGACACTTTGATAAGAATAACTATATTTTCAATCTAGGCGGCTACAGAGGATCATTTATTTAATGTTTTTGGTTGGTGGTGTGCCTCTGGATTCAATGAAAAAAAAAGGCTTAGAGAGGTGTAACCCCACCAGTCCAGATTCTGTCCCACTCGGAAAAACCCCAGACACGTCCAGCTTTAGACACAGCCCCCTTACTTAGCTTCAGCATCTGTCAGGAAGTTCGGTTGCTCTGAAGCTTGTGGGGTTTCAGACCTGGACTCCATTAAGGTATTCATCTGCCACAGCTTCATATGAACCGCACAGTGGAGCTTTCCTCTGCAGGACGAATACAGATGAGTAGCAGAGCCAGACGGTTAAAAGCCCTTTGAAAGCGATTGTCCACCATGTAGGTGTTCGTGGTAACAGAAAAGTCCAGGGGATTGGCCTCCGCTAAATAGGCGTATGAGGTGAAAGGCCTTCTGTTGTTGCAGGGCTGTATGTTCTGCAGCGCATCGGCTCCACCCAGGAAGGCAACGCCAGCTTCACTCTGTCTGGGGACTACTACAACAGAGAGCTGTCAGGTGACTGCAGCCTTCAGCCTCCTGGGTTTTCACCTCACTGACCTCAGAAGGCATGACTGGGTGTAAAACCACTGAATGTGTGTGTCAGGCTGGGAGCCCATCATCGAGCCCTGGCCCTGTTTCCTGTCCTGGCAGCAGCAGGCCGCTGGCCGCCTCCACCCCCCACGCCTCAAAATGGGGATACGAGCCAAGCAGAGGCTGGACATCAACATCACGTCTGTTCTGCTCGGTGAGTGAACCGGAATCAAGCCTTTCCCTTTGCTGTGTTTGCTTAGATATACAGTAGAATCTCTACATATTCATTTAATTAATTCCAGGAGTTACTTTGTATGTTAAAATATTGGTATGTTGGCTCAAATGTTCCCATCAGCCCAAAAACCTACGGTAACTCCTTAATAAATACTGCAGATAATTACACACAGTAATAAAACAAATTACTTATATAAGAGAGATGTAAAAAGAAATAAATTAGAAATAAATAATCAATAATAAGGGTTTTCATTGGCACTTTACCTCAGAGACTAGCGAACAGGTGTAGGCTTAGTGATGCACCATAACTTACTCTAACTTTCACCACATGAACTTTAAACTAACGTAGCTTATTAATTTGATATTTTATATATATTTTTCTATGACTTCGACGTCATACGCATGTTGGAAATTTACTTTGGGTGTCGAGTCGAATATTTGATCAAATTTCACTTCGTATGTTGCAAAATTCGTATGTTTAGGCATCGTAAGTAGAGGTTCTGCTGTATAAAGTATTTGTAGCTGCTGGTTTTCCTCTGAAAATCTGAGAAGTCCCTCAAAGCTGGATTTGTTTTGTCTGCCCCTCCCAGAACAATACAAAACTACCAAGAGCTCCTGGATGGCTGATTACTGTAAGGAGGAGGAACAGGCCACCAAGTCTTCCCCCCCTCTGCCCTGGATAGGCTCTTCCGTGGACCCCCCCAGCTTTGGTCAGAGTGAGTTCCAGCAACACTAACTCCGCCTGCAGGTTCTAAAGCAGCTCTACCTCACATCTCAGTCGGCCCACTGCTGTGTGGTAAACATGTAGGGTTCCCCCACCCTACAGAGCATCGTCTCTGGGGGGGCCTGACGTCCCCCACTCTCAGTGTCTGCATCCTGGGGGAGGTGGGACGGCTGCTTCTGGCTCCCAGAGAGCACTGTGTCCCTCTGGGACTTCTTGAGTAAACGCAGCCCCTCTGCCCCCGAAACCACTCAGAAGTCACTGTTGTTTTTGTGAGAGTCTTGGTCTGACTAACTTGGACTTGGCTTATTAACATCCCAGCTCTGATTGCATGATGGTGATTACTCTCCTGAAGGAGCTTTTACTCTCTGACCGGCTGTACACAGAGAACGGGAACTTGTGATGCAGTGTTTCGGAGACGACCAGAAAAAATGAGCGAATGAATTAACCAATTGCAGTGATGGTAAAATAACCCTGTGGTGTGCTCCCTCTGCATGTCTGTTGTACTGTAACTATCTTTCTCCACTGTCAGGTGCCCCTCTTTCTCACCTTAGAACTAGGAGCACAGCCAGCTTGACCTACCTCGAGCAGCAGATTCACTCCAGAGGTACAGTCCAGAGTCCAGCTGTCCACAGCCTGCCTCTACAGCCAGCGCTCACCACATCCTGGTCACAGATTTCAGCCTCCATCACAGTCGATGCGAGCATGTTTGTGTGTCTGACCAAGGCTCCGGGCAGTGTGTCCGGGCCAGGCACTGACTGTGTTGTCTCAGATGCTCCCACTGATACAGACCGCTGAGCAGCCAAAGGACATGTGACGTAGGGCTGGAACGCACAGGGCAATCCAAAGAAGATCGGTCACTAGATCCACCGGAGAATAGGTGGATTTTCATGCCGCGTGAGCAAAAATCCCCATTAGAAAACACGTGAGCTGAAGAAAAACACGGACCCTCACATGTCCGCCACCCAAACGGTTAATGCTTCATTAATCTTTAGCGCCACTTTCTCTGTGGCTCATTCAATTAAATTAAATTTCAAGTCAATGCTTAGGTCTAAAACTAGCTTTCCTCTGAGTGAATGGTGCTGGTTGGTCTATGGTGTCCTCTAGGATGATCACTTTAACCCGTGATGTGTCCTTTAGAAGCCCCATCAGCACATCCAGCCAGAGGACGGTGAACGCTGCTCCACAGGTCTGTACTGGTACGAACATTTGAACAGGAGCGGCTCGCCCACGCTGGGAATGAGCCGTGCTGGGAAGTGAAATCTCTACAACTCAGTGATCACTGGCTGTGCACTCAGTGCTGTGATGACTGGTCTCTTTAAGATTTCGCTAATTACGAGCCACCTCTTCTTTTGCTTTAGAATCATTTCTGCAGCGTAGCCGAACAGCATGAGAGCCTTATGTCTATCCCACTGCATGTTCAGAGGGTTTACTACAAAGCAGGCCAGTTTTCCATGTGAGAAGCACACTGAGAATCTGGATCTGACATAATCGACCTACAGCAGAACCTATACATACGAATTTCATTAGTTCCGGGACCTACTTTGTATGTTGGTGCATGTTGGTTCAAATATTCCCATCAGAATACACGGTAATTTGTATAATTTGTTCCACAGCCCAAAAACCTACGATAACTCCTTAATAAATACTGCAGATAATTACACATGGCAATAAAACAAATGAGGGAATAAGCGGTATTGATAATGGATGGATGGATGGATGGATGGATGGATGGATGAATGGATGGATGGATGGATGGACTTCTAGAAGAGAGATGGAAAAATAAATTAATTATAAAGAAATAATCAATAAAAAGGGTTTTTATTGGCAGGTAGAGGTTTAAACTAAGATACAGGATGTACCCTAACTTACTTTAACTTTCATTAAGTGAGCTTTAAACTAACTTAGCTCATTGTTTTTATTGAATTTTTATGTTTTATATATATTTTTTTCTATGATTTCAACGTCATGTTGGAAATTTACTTTGGCTGTCGAGTCGAATATTTGATTGAATTTCACTTCGGATGTCGGAAAATTTGTATGTTTAGGCATCGTAAGTAGAGGTTCTGCTGTAGTAGGAGAAGTTGGACTTGGTCTTGGGTACAGACTGGGGGGATTCTGAGCACCAGAGCTAAGTGTTCAGTCGTGTTTCCCAGCTGTGAGAGCCGACTGCATGGTCATGTTTAGGGTGCAGCTCTCCTCTCTGGACCTTTGTGCCTCAGTAGCCTCGTCCTGTTGGCAGAGCAGCTCCCGGCCTGGGTTTGGTCTGGCCCAAAATCAGAGGGTGAGTCAGACGCCTGTCTGAGGAGCTTCCTCTCAGAGTGGAGGTCAGGGTTCATCGAGGAAGAGTCAGAGACAGCCCCGCTGGGATGAGCCTGCTTTGTAGTACTCCGCCTGGTGTCAGTTCACTGTGCTCACTCCTCGTTCCGTTGTAGTACCCTGCTGTGGAAAGTCCAGATCCCCTAGAATGCAGCCCCCCGTATGAGCCCACTGTGTGCACGCCGCGGTTCCACTGCTCCGTTTGTCATGGTGGCACGTCGGCTGGAAACCGTCTCCATGGGAACAGGGCGTGCTCCTCACACGTCAGCCCACGACCGGGAATTTATGGCTGAAAGTCGTGGGGAAAGCGGACAGAAGTCCATCCAAACTGCCTCCCCCTCCTGATTGGGATTTTGTCCTTGTTTCCAGCAGATGCCAAGCTGTCAAAGAGGAGGCAGCCTTTTGTGCCATACGCTCTGCGCAACCACACCGGATGCACCATGTGGTTTGCCACCCTGACCACTACTCCCACAAGGTTTGTCCCACCATGACCCCTCATGTACCAGAACCGAAGACACCATCGACTGGGTGAAATGGGGAGACTGACTTGAGCATGCAGGCTGTTTGATCTGGTATAGACTACTCAGAAGAACCTTCTGGATTTACCAAAGTCCTGAAATGGACTCCGACATCCATCAATCCAGTGAAAGTTAGAATTTCAACATGGAGAATATGACCTGTTTCCACATCCAGCCTTTCTGAAACCATTTCCTGGGCATTAGTTTCTTAAAGTGCACATCTCAGACGGCTGACTGCTCAGCACTAAGGTGGCTGGTGCAGGGCTCTCTGTGTAGGGGGGGGGCATCGTGTGTGAGTGTGTCCGTGCTCAGTCTTGTACTCTGGTGTCCTCTCAGGGTGGCGCTGTCTCATAGCAGCAGCGCGGACTCCATCTCTGAGGTCCACAGCTCGGGTGCTGATGACTCCCACAACGTGAGCCAGTGGAGAGAGGTCCTGCCTGGGGAGGAGGTCCCGTTCGAGTTTGAGGCTCGGGAGAAGCTGCGCCACCGGTACGGTTTGGACTCCTGTGCCTCATGCTGGAGGACAGATTGGGCCCAGGTTTATAGCATGCTACACAGATGGTGCTGGTAGTCCATTTTTCTTAACCATCAGTGTGACTTTGCCTCTGTTAGAGGCAGCACAGTTGTATAAAAGAGGTTGTAGAGGCATGTCTTCCTCCTGTCTCTCACAGGCTTTGGGAAGAGCCTGTTTTTGACCAAACACAGCAGTGAAAGTTCCCCTAAGAAGCAGGACAGGCTCATTTCTGGGGTTTTTCCACCTGCCACACGGCTCTATGTGCTTTCTTTTTTTTGCATTTCCTCTCACCTCTGTGTTAGGAGCTCACTTTATAATGATAAAGCACCTGAGGCGAGCCAAGGCATGAAGGGGGGCTGATTAGTGGAAATGGAGTAAGCCCATCCCTGTGCCGTGAACACACTGCATGTGTGGCAGGTGGCTCTCCTCTCTGTTTTTTCTTTCCTTCGTTAAATGCTTGAAAGAAGGCTTTCAGTTGGATTTGTGCCTGGTGGGGCCTGTGCCCGGTGTCTGTGTCTGTGCTGTGTGCGGCCCCTGAAACCTCCTTGTCTGCAGACACACTCACGAGCTGAAGCTTCACCAGCTGCTGGTTCGGGTCTGCGGATGGGAGCAAGTCAAGCCCGTGTCCGTGGACAAAGTGGGCATTTTCTTTCGTTACGCAGCTCCAGACAGGACCAACTCTTCCAACACAGTGAGCAGACCTGCCACTCGATGCAGCATCTGTGTCCAGCTCCCAGGCTTTCCTCACTTAGCTGTCTTTTCCCCCTGCTGTCTCACAGGTGGGCAGCCCCATCAGCAGGACCAACATCATCCACCCTCATGTCTATGTAAGTCATACCCCGTCCAAATGGGCCAGCATGGTAAAAACATCTGTGGAGGCAGTGGCTTAATGTCTGGAGTGACCAAAGGTCCTCTTTTGCCTGTTTTGGGGTGTCCAGAGGGGGATGAGAAATTCATGAAAATGTTTTCACTGTTTTTCATGGGACCAGAAACACTTAACTCCACTGGCGCTTTGCACAAAATACTACGGTACCTTGGGGGATTGCCTTGTGGGGGGGGTCAAGCGAGACACACTCACCCCACACACACACACACAGGGAGCAGAGCAACCAGCAATGGAGACAGAATACCCAAACCAAAGTGCAGCTTCAGAGACGAACTAAAAAAAAAAAAAAGTCCCACGTATCATTCCGGTCTGGACAAGTGGGATGAAAAGGATCTAAACTTAGTAGAGATCCTTTATGTTTAGTTTGTATCGTTGTGAGACTGTTTCATTTATGGTATTAAGAAGTATTTTGTTGAAGCTGCATTTTCTAATCCAGACGAGGTCATATTCAGAACATTATTTGATTTTATTTATGTATTTTAAAGGAGGGCCACAATTTTGTTACTGGTTGTTACTGGTTGGGTTTTACTACCGAAGTTCTTTTGGTACCATTGAGGTCTAATAAAGCCTGTTCATTAACATCTGGGAAGCCTGTCTGAACCCGTCTGGAGGCAAAGTGTGCTCCTTTTTGGAAATCAAAATATGGTCACCCCATTCCCGTGGGCACCAATCACCCTTGACGAGAGCGGCCTGTGAGTGAATCTGTGTGTCCCCTCAGTTTTCGGCCCTGCCTCCTGTCAGGGTTGTCTTCGCCATCACAATGGAGGGCAGTGCAAGGAAGGTCATCACTGTGCGCTCGGCCCTCATGGTGAAGAACCGGCTGGATGCTCTGATGGAGGTCCGACTGGACAGTCCCTCCGCACCCGACAGTAAGCCTCCTGGAGAACAAATCCCCACGAGCCCTCTTTGGGCATTTCTAAAGAATCCCCCCGTCCCTGCTTCCACAGAGCCGGTGGTGTTGCCTCCCATCTTGCCCGGGGAGGCTCTGGCCATCCCTCTCCATCTGACCTCCTGGAGGCTGCAGGCCCGGCCCAAAGGCATGGGCTTGTTCTTCTGTAAGGCTCCCATCCACTGGACCAGCGTGGAGCGGCCGGGGGAGATCAGCAGCTCTAAAAGGGAGTGTCAGACTGCAGACGTGGAGGACAGCCCCAAGGGTAACTTCAGGTATGGAGCCAGTTTGGCCGTCCCTCCGGATACTTCTCCAATCCTCGGTTAACTGTGTGCTCTTCAGAGATAAAGTACTGGAGTAGAGGAGTGGAGTAGAAGTACAAGAACTATATCAAAAATTGACTTGAGTAAAAGTTGAAGTATTCTTTCAACACCATACTTAAGTGGAACTACGGAAGTAATCCTTTTTTTTTTAACTTAAGTATTGCAAGTAGAAGTATTTCAAAAATTGCTACTCAAGTATTGAAAGTAAGAGTATAAGTAAAAGTATAAGTACTGTGTATATTTAAAAAATGGCAGTCAAAAGTTTGATAGATATTGTTTATATTATTTCAAACGTGTGAAATGCCATACAGGTCTTTACAAAAAACAGAAAAGAAAACACAAATAAAACATCTCAAAAGGCCAGAGGGGCGAGTTAAGCCTGGTGGAGAACCTTATGATGGAATAGCCCAGAAGCATGAAGCCCCCCATCAACAGGCTAACCATGGCCCCCAGGTCAGCTTAACCAGGTTTGTCTCTTAACCGGCTACTGGGAATTCCCCCAGTAGGTCACACACAATTTCCCAATCTTTCGTGAGGCTTTTTTATAGGCTATTCTTGATCGCTCAAATCACCCAATGAGGAGCCAGCTTCCCAAACCCTGACAGAGCTATCTCCAGCTCTGGCTCTGACTCTATGACTGGGGATGATTCATTACATTTACATATCAGTAACGAGTAACGATTTAGCCTGTGAAAGAAAAAGTATTAAATTAATCAAAAATATGTAGTGAAGTAAAAGTAGGGAAAAATATATACTCCAATAAAGTACAGATACTGCATTTTGGTACTTAAGTAGTTGTACTTGGTTACTGTACATCTCTGGTGCTCGTTGCAGGTTTTGTGTGGTCATCAAGAAGGAGAACTACCCGGAGCAGCAGCCCGCTAAGAGGCAGGCGTCTGGCGGGGCGCAGCAGATCTACCGGCAGCCGGGCCACACCGTCTACCTGCTGCCCACCATGGTGCTGCACAACCTGCTGCCCTGTGACCTCAGCTACTACATCAAAGGAACGGCCATCCTAGGCACCCTGAAGCCGGGGAAGGAAGCCGTGCTCCACTCGGCGGACACCTCGCAGAACATGGAGCTGGGTGAGCGGCCTCTTCCTAGGCTCCTCCCTCACGCAGCACCTTTTCCTCCATCACACCGGTCATGTTTTTCTGTAGGAGTGCTGCTGGAGAGTTTCCCTGTTTGCAAGGAGCTGCTGATTCCACCGGGCACTCAAAACTACGTGGTGCGCATGAGGCTGTACGACACCAACAAACGGCTGCTGTGCCTCACCATCCGCATCATCCTGCTGGCTCAGGGCGCTCTGAAGATTCTGATATCCTCCCCCTACTGGCTCATCAACAAGACTGGTACAGTTCGCGCTCCCAGCTGCAGCCTTACTGTTTTGAGCTTCCCTTTTCCGTCCCCTAACTCCGCTTTGATTCCTCAGGCCTGCCCTTAATATTTCGTCAGGACAATGGGAAGACGGACACGGCGGGGCAGTTCGAGGAGCACGAGCTGGCCCGCAGCCTGAGCCCCCTACTCTTCTGCTACACCGACAAGGAACAGCCTGCCATGTCAGTGTCTCTGCCCGGAGTCTGTCCCCAGTGCTTCCACACGCTGATGGGCTGTTTCTTCCATGAACCCTCCTCTAGGTGCACCATGCGGATCGGGAAAGGAATCCACCCGGACGGAGTTCCAGGCTGGTGCCAAGGCTTCTCCTTAGATGGAGGGAGTGGGGTCAGAGCAGTGAAGGTGATCCAGCATGGCAACAGGCCCGGACTCATCTACAACATAGGTAGGCTGCTCCTTAGAACCAGAAGCCCGGACCCGTCCTGACACACAGTGATCCCTCGCTACTTCACGGTTCAAATTTTGCAGACTCGCTATTTTGCGTTATTTTAATAAATATTCACGTAGAATATTAGCACTGTATTTTAGCTATTTTACCGTTTTTTGCCGTACACATGCGAGGGCTTTTAAAAGTTAACTTAAAACAGTTAGGGTTAGGGTTAGATTAAATAGTTATTCTAATTAATCACAAAGTTTCTTAAATTCATTTGAATTAATCACAAACCTAAATATTATTGAAAAATTCACATTTTCTGTGTACTGTTTTCAGAACAGAAAGATAAATGACAAGAAGTGGATGTTACATTTAGTTTTTATTAATGACAAATCCAAATCCAAATTTAATTCTCAACAATTTTGCCATTGCTCTTTTTGTTTTTCTTTCGCAAATACAGGAGATACACTTTCAGACAATTACATCTGGTCCGTTTACCTTTTATTTATTAATCTTTTAGCCAGTTGCTAATGAAAACTAAGCGGTTAACGTTTTCTAAATGTAAAGCGCACCGTTTCTCCTGACCAATGTGGCGAGCGACTGAGGAGAGTTGTTCATGGAAGCGTGGATGCAGGAGTCGCTCCTGAACGAGCAGCCCACCGCTGCACAGGGCCGGCCTCCGTACTTAGGCCTGGCTCTGCTCTGTACCTGTGTACGGGTTCTTCTGACTCCTCCATCTGGCTCCTGTCAGACAACAAAAAAAAAAAAAACGTTAATTCCAGAAATGTATCATCTAAAGTTAAGGCCTTAATTTTGACATGCCTAATATATATTAGCGTAAATATACAGTAGCATCACTACTTTGCGTTTTTTCACTTATCGCGGGTGGTCCTGAAACCTAACAACCGCCGTAAGAGAGGGATCACTGTACACACAATCTGCTGGCTTTAGGTCTGTGTTGGAGGTTTGTTTTGCTCTAACCTTTCCAAACTCCTCCACTCAGGGATCAGCGTGCGTAAAGGAAGAGGTCACTACAGAGACACCCACATCGTGACCTTTGCTCCACGCTACCTGCTGGACAACCGCTCCACCCACAAACTGGCCTTTGCTCAGAGAGAGTTTGCCAGAGGAAAGGTGAGAAAGGTGTTCTGCCGGTGCTCCTCTGGGGTGGACCTTCGGAAGCTTTGTTTCATCCTGGATGACCCAGAACCAGCCGGCTCCCGAGGCCTTTTGGCTCTGAGCTCATCGTCTGTGCAGTTGCATCCACAAGTAGTCCATAAATAGAACATCACCGTGTGCTGTGTTAAAGGGGGCGGCCAACCCAGAGGGCTACATCTCCACCCTGCCGGGCTCCAGCGTCGTCTTCCACTGGCCCAGGAACGACTATGACCAGCTGCTGTGTGTGCGCCTCATGGACACGCCCAACTGCACCTGGTCAGGAGGCTTCGAGGTCAACAAACCAAAGTCCTTCCACGTCAACATGAGGTGAGCCAAACAAAGTCCTGCTGGAGGAAAGGAAAGTGGAGGAGAAAAGGTCCTCGGTCATTCAGGTTTGGTTTGCCAGCCTCGCATGCTGCTCATGGTTGTAGATTGTGAGGTTGTTCAAAGCGCTCAGAGTGCGTCTCTGTTGGAACAGGGACACGCTGGGGAACTGCTTCTTCCTGCGGACGGAGATCACCCTGAAGGGAGCCACCTACCAGATCTCCTTCACAGACACTGACCAGCTGCCTCCCCCCCTCCGCATCGACAACGTCTCAGAGGTACACCAGTGTCACACACACACACAGTCGGCTCCTCCAGAGGCAGCACCGCTGCAGACTGTGGTTTCCCCCCCCTCCAGGTGCCCATCCAGTTCTGGCAGCACGGCGTGGCGGACATCCGGCTGCACACGGAGGTGAAGGCCCTGTCGGTGCTGGACTACGCCTGCGACGAGCCCACGCTGCCCCCCTACCTCACGCTCACCGTGAAGGGGGCGGGCTCGTCCGAGGTCACGGCCGACATGAACTTCTTCAGGGAGTACAACAAACTCTACTACGAGAACTTCATCTACATCGCGGCCAGGCACACCTTCTCACAGTAGGGGCCAGCGCGCCGGCCGGACGCCCCCCCACCCTCCCCACCCAGCCGGGCACACGGCTCACAGCCTCCTCTGGTCTGTACAGGAATGCTGAGCGGAGACCTGTTGGGAAGAAGCACGTGGTGAGCTGCGCCGAGCTGGTCCTGGACGTGGACACCAAGACTCAAAGGGTCATCCTCAGGAAGAAGGTAAGGGGCAAAGAGAAGTGGTAGCAGTTTCTGCATGGTTCCCCAGCAGCCTCAACAACAGGAGAGACACTCTGTTCTGGCATTTCTAGAAAATAAACACTAGATTTTCCTACTTCTTCTTGATTTAAATGGTGAAAAAGGAAACAAAAATGTCAAAGATTCTCTGCGCAGCAGACATTCTTGTCCAAGTTGTTGAACTGTTCAGAGTAATGAGGGATTTCTGGTTACTCCCGGTTACCTCTGGTTACCCCTGCTTACCCCAAGCTGCCCGCATCAAATTCAAGTCCCTGATGCCTACAAAGGGTCCGGCTTCCGTCTCCCTGAACCCTCTTTCAAAGGCTTATGTCCCAGCTGGTCCCTCTGGTCATCAGCGGGTTCTGGTCCAGCAGAACTCCTCCAGACTCCCCTCTCCACAGAGCAGCTCCTATCCTAACTCCTCCAGACCTCTGGACCCTCTACTCCTCTTTCTGTTCCTCCCTCTCTCTCTTTGCTGTCTCCACTGATTCTGACTGGGGGTTTTCCTCTAGAGAACTTATGATAACTGGAACATTGTGTCTACATTGTAAGTCCTTTTGGATAAAAGCGTCTAAATGCAGAAACAGAAACGAGGGCCAGGACAGAACCCTGTGCAGCCGGTAATGATGTTCCGGCCCTGTGCTTGCCGACAGGAGCCGGGGAAGCGCTCCCAACTGTGGCGGATGACGGGGGCTGGCATGCTTTGTCACGAGGGCTCCTCGCCGCCCCAGAGCAAGCCGGCCCAGCCGCGGCCTCTGGACTCCTCGCTGGTGCTGGACATCGCCGGGCTGGCAGCCGTCAGCGACAACAGGTGGGCGCCGTGCGGCCGCCGGACTCCCCGCGGGTCATTAAAGCCACGCCCTGCTGATCCGGGCTCTCTCTCTGCTTCCTGGTGTCCCTCAGCTTCGAGCCGCTGATGCTGCGGAGGCCAGACTCCCGGCGCAGCACCACCCAGACCTGGTACTTCAGCTCAGGCATGCTGACCTGCGGCCTCCCTCGCCTCGTGGTCCAGGTACACGCGCCCTTCCTGTCTTCTCAGTGCCCCCACTGCACAGTTACCACAGCCTCGCTTGTCCAACAACAGGTGAAAGGTGGCGTGGCGGGCCTGTACGACGGGGCGGAGGTGGTGCTGGGACCAGATTCAGGTCTGATGGAACCGGGCCCTCAGCAGCAGTTCATCAACCAGAAGATGAGGCCGGGGTCTGGGGTGCTGTCGGTCCAGGTGCTGCCCGACGGGCCCACGCGGGTCCTCCAGGTGAGAGCGCAGCTCTGCCCACGCACTCCTCTCTGCGTCACAGACAAGAGGAAGGACACAGATCTGCAACCTGATTCATGACAACTATTCAGTCATTATGCAGGAGATCTGATAGGATCATTCTCAGCACGTGTGACATCACAGGGATGACAGAATATTTAGTTAAGTCATTTCAAATAACGGGACCTATTTTTTCTGATTGAATCACCCACCATCAGCCATACACAATCATCAGCTGCGTCAAAGGAAATGTATAACGATAGAAGTATGAAAGAAGTTTACCGGTTTGTTTAGCTCAGTCTGAACACTGGACTCTGCCTTCTGCTCTGATGTCTGCTTATGTGAGAATGTTCTGGTAAAAGGGTGCTCTTCTGGCACCTGACGGAAAAACTGCCGCTTGCCTCTGTTTCCAGATCAGTGACTTCAGTCAGAGGAGGACCACCCGGAGCTCAGCCAGCTCAGAGCAAGAGCGGAGCAAAGAGGCTGGACCGAAGGCGGAGCCTGAGAAGGAGCTGGAGGTGAGAGCACTCCCAGAAGTGTCTGTGCTGCTACTCTCCTATCAGTAGGTCACAAAGGAAACTAAACACATCACCATGCAGAATAAGATACAGGAGAAAAAAAAACGCCGGCAATCCAAGACTCTAAGAGAGACGCTTTGACAGGTAGCATGTATTTAGGGGTCAGCACCTCCTGGGCAGAGCAAATCTTCTTTTGGCCCAGTTTTAGCCTAACCAGAATCAACGGTTCTTTGATTCCCCCCCAACACACACAGACCTTGTTGTATGCTCTGACATGTGACTGTGTCTGGGACAGGTTTTGGTCAGCCTGGAGGAGGGTCTGGGGGTGTCTCTGGTCAACAAAGTTCCCGAGGAGCTGGTGTTTGCCACGCTGTCCGGTGTGGACGTCCACTTCACTCGCACCGAGGCCAACGAGGTGTTGGAGCTGAGCATTCAGAACATCCAGGTGAGCTCTCCTCTTCCATCTGCCCGGTCGGTGTCACACCAGCCCCCGGCAGAGTGCAGAGGCCTCTGCCGTCCATATAGGGAGCTGTCACCATTAAGCTAAGACTTTTGTAATTATAGTGGAGATCCAAGAGTCCGAGAACGAGCCAAACATCCTCTGCTCCAATAGGAAACCTGAATCTTCCCCACATCGTTCAGTTTAAGTTCAGTGGAATGTCGGCTCTCTTGTTATGGTGCCATGGAAAATCTCTGACCCCAACAGGAAAATGAAGGGGAAAGGAAGGAAGGCTGTACAACATACCCGAGGGCTCCTGTGTGAGCTGTATTCCTCCTGGTAGGCAGGAGGCCCTGTGGCCTCCCAGACCTGAAGGAGAACATCAGTCAGCAGCTAGAGCTTGTTAAAGTTTTAAACATTGTCCTGTTCAGCATTCTGGCAGCAGAACTGAAATCTGAGTACCCAGCTATGCTGAACACCTTTGCTTTGCCAAGGGAGGCTCTGTTGGTGAGAAGCCCCCCTTGATTACCCAAAACGGCTTTATTTATTCATTTTTGTTACCAAACTTACGTGTCCAATAATGCTGGATCTGACAGTGGGACAGCAGAAATAAGAGCAGTGGGAAAGAGAGAGATCCTTTAGACCGAAAGAGTAAGAAAAAAATAAAAGAAAGACAACAAGACCATACAACCAGCTGCTATGTCTGTAAAAAAAAAAATGAAATGATTCTTTGTGGGCAATCCTGGTGGAGAACCTATAGTTGCTCCTACAGAAGCTGTCAGAAGCAGCTAGTGCTCCTCCTGATGGGCCTGAGCCTCCCTTCTGCCTGTAGCTGTCAGCTGAATGTGAGGGTGTGTGTGTGTGTGTGTGTGTGTGCTGCTGAAACCCCTGCCGGTGCTTGACCCGTGCTGTGGCGGTTCCCAGGTGGACAACCAGCTGCTGGGCACCACCCAGCCCGTCATGCTGTGCGTGACTCCCAGCTCTGGCGAGGCCGGCGTCAGCGACAGCGGCCCGGCCCTGCAGGTGAACTCGGTCAAAGTCCCCAGCAGGCTGATGCTCACAGACCTCTTCAAGGTGAGCCTGGACGCACACGCTGACCCGCACACGCCTCAGCAGCCGGGAGGCCGCTGAACGCCACCCGCCGGAGATAAACAGAGATAAACAGTAGCCAAGTACAACTACTTAAGGACTGTACTTAAGTAATATATTTATTTTTACCTACTTTTACTTTTACTCCACTACATATTTTTGATTAATTTAATACTTTTGCTTTCACGGGCTGAATCGTTACTCGTTACTGATATGTAAACGTAATGAATCATCCCCAAGTCATAGAGTCAGAGCCAGAGCTGTAGATAGCTCTGTCAGGGTTTGGGAAGCTGGCTCCTCATTGGCCGATTTGAGCCATCAAGTATAGCCCCTCTGGCCTTTTGAGATGTTTTATTTGTGTTTTGTTTTCTGTTTTTGTAAACACCTGTGTGGTCTTTCACACGTATGAAATAATATAAACAATATCTAGCACACTTTTGACGGCCTTTCTTAAATATACACAGTACTTGTACTTTTACTTATACTTGTACTTTCAATACTTGAGTAGCAATTTTTGAAAAACTTCCACTTGAAATACTTAAGAAAGAAAAAGGAGTACTTCCGTACTTCCACTTAAGTCTGGTGTTGAAAGAATATTTCTACTTTTACTCAAGTAAATGTTTTTATATAGTACTCGTACTTCTACTCCAGTACTTTCTACATCTCTGGTTCGCAGCACCTGATGGTGACGGCGCGCCGCTTCACCGTCATCATCGAGGAGAAGCTGCTGCTAAAGCTGCTCAGCTTCTTCAGCTACGGGGACGCAGAGGCTGGTGGGTCCCACGTCCTCCTGAGCTCTTACCCCTGTGTGTGTCCTCAACTAAAAGAAGAAATCCTTGTTGTGCCGAACACAGAGCTGGAGAAACTGGATGAGAGCCTGCACGAGAGGCCCAGTGAGGTAGCAGGACCTCTCAAACGCTACTACTTTGAGAACCTGAAGATCAGCCTCCCTCAGGTCAAACTCAGCGTCCTCACCTCTCACAAGCTGCCGCCAGACCTCAAGGTGCCCTCATGTCCTGCGTCCACTCTCAGACCGCAGACCCTGCACAGGTGGAGCATAATCTGGATGTCCTACCGATGCTTGTTTCTCTCCACAGGCCCTGAAAGGCACGCTGGGCTTCCCTTTGGTTCGCTTTGAGGACGCCGTCATCAACATGTACCCCTTCACCAGAGTGCACCCCTACGAGACCCAGGAGATCATCATCAATGACATCCTCAAGCACTTCAGAGAGGTCAGGAACACCGCTCCTGTAGGGGGGGGTCAGTCTTAATGACAGAGTGAGGGGGTACAGGCTGCTTACAGCGTGAGGAGCTCAATGCTGACGGACCATGAACTGCATCGGATAAAAGGAGGGAGCAGCTGTTTCTAAACATGGTCTTTGTGTGTTTAATGGCTGATTAGGAGAAGCTTTCAATGCATTCTACACACACTTTGTGCAAAGTTATAAAGTACTCTCACAATCCCTGTGTTGACACTGTTCAGCATACCTTTAGTGTTATTTGTGAGAATGCCTTCTAGACATTCTCACGGTTGTTTTCCTATTTCTCTGTATTATTCTTTATTCCATATGTTGTTCTGCGTCTAACTATATCCATAGTTTTCAGCCGATTTCAACAAAGAAGGTATCAAAATGTTCAGCTTCTGCGGGACATAGTAGCTCTGACTTTTGGTGTTAAAATCTTTTCAACTTTTTAAATGACTCAACTTTTCCTGCTTTTTATTTCTCATTGAAATGAATGGAGCAAAAAGTCTGGCTCCATTTTCTGGTGTTTATAAGATCATTGAAATTTCAGCTCCTTCAAATTTTTGTATTATATCTATTCCTCTGTGGCCACGTTAGAGTGGGCTATAGCTCAGTGGTAGAGCGTTTGAATGCAGATTGAGAGGTCTCTGGTTCAAATCCCATTAGGATCTTTTGGTACCTTACTGATCATTTCATGGCCTTTTACCCTTTTTTTCTTCCTCTAATCCTTCTTCCACTCTTCAGTTTGTCTTTAAAGCATCCTTCAGCCATTGTTCTTTTACTTTCCACTGCCTTTTTGCCACATTTCAGTGTCCTCTTTTGCTGATGGTTTCTATGTCTTTTTCAGCTTTTCTTTGGCATATTCTGGTTCCTCCCTTCAGCATTAGGCATTCTCACAGCTGTTTCACAGGAGCAGGCCTTTCTAGTTTGTCTTCATGTTGCCGGCGGTGGTGGTTGGGTTAGTTCTCTCTGTGGGTCCCACCTGTGAACCCATGTGTGTGGGTTTTTGTGCACTCCTGTCTGCAGGAGCTCATGAGCCAGGCTGCTCAGATACTGGGCTCTGTGGACTTCTTGGGGAACCCCATGGGCCTCCTCAATGACGTCTCCGAGGGCGTGTCTGAGCTCATCAAGTACGGCAACGTGGGTGGTCTCATCCGCAATGTGACCCACGGCGTGTCCAACTCTGCTGCCAAGGTATGGAACTGCTCCCATGACCCACCGGGGTCTATGTGGCCCCTCTTATGTCTCCGGTTTCTACCCGAAAAGGACAGCTCCAGAAACATGTGACCATAGAGAGAGCCTCTGTTTGGCCTCTGTGTGTTAGTTTGCAGGGACTCTATCGGACGGGCTGGGGAAGACCATGGACAACCGGCACCAGAGTGAGCGGGAGTACATCCGATACCACGGAGCCACCAGTGGAGAGCACCTGGTGGCAGGGATCCACGGCCTGGCTCACGGTAGGAGTTGGAAGTACAGCAGAACCACTGCTTACGATGGCTTAAACATACGCATTTTCAAACATCCAAAGCGAAATTTGATCAAATATTCGACTCAACACCTGAAGTAAATTTCCAATGATGTTGAAGTCATAGAATAATATATGTAAATTATAAAACTAAATGAGCTAAGTGAGTTTAAAGTTCCTGTAGTAAAGTGAGAGTAAGTTACGGTACGTCCTGTATCTCAGTCTCCACCTCCAATAAAAAAAAAACGTTTTATTGATTATTTCTTTATAATTGATTTATTTTCCCATCTCTCTTATATAATGTATTTGTTTTATTGCTATGTCTAATTATCTGTAGTATTTATTAAGGAGTTATCGTAGGTTTTGGGGCTTTGGAACAAATTATAGGAATTACAGTGTATTCTGATGGGAATATTTTACCAACATTCAAATATTTTAACATACAAAGTAGGTCCTGTGGTTCTACGGTAGCTGCTCAGCACAGTGACACGGAGAGAGCATGGATGAACAAGCGATGGATCCTGAACGTTTTTCTTTTCCCCACACAATCTCAACCGATACTCTTTATATGGCTGCCCACATCTTAGAAAGCAGGATGTGAGGGTGGAGGAGGGCTGCTTACCATTTACCATTTAGCAGCAGCACCTTGTTTTCCAGTCCTCTGTTTCCTTTGAGCTTCCTCTAACCTCTCTCTGTCGTCCAGGGATCATTGGCGGCATGACCAGCATCATCACCTCCACAGTGGAGGGGGTGAAGACGGAGGGGGGAGTCAGCGGTTTCTTCTCTGGGCTGGGCAAAGGTCTGGTTGGCACCGTGACCAAACCGGTGGCCGGGGCTCTGGACTTTGCGTCAGAAACAGCCCAGACGGTGCGGGACATGGCCAGCCTCAGCAATCACAGGTGGGCCCCCGGCTTGCTTTCCTCAGGTGGACGCAACCCCCCCCACTATAAACATACAGTAACATTACGCAATATAGGCGCGCCCAAACACGATCACGTTGACAGCACAAATACAGCGATCCCTCTGGTTATGTTCCAGGTAGTGATATGCTATATTTACTTTAATATTTATTCATTATGTCAGTAGTTATACACTATTTTAAGTTTTTTAAAGCCTTCCCCACACACTTGTACTCTACACAACACTTTCCCACTGGACCCGTTTCTTTTAAAAGCCGCCTTAAACGTTCATTTAGCGTTCTCTGGTTGGTCTCTTCCACCAGTCCACCAATCAGGTGCTGTGTCAAATCTGACGTGTGCCAGTAGCATCTCAGGAAGCGGCTGTGTGTTCATACGCAGGGTTATTGGTTATTTACTCACTATTGGACTGGATTCTTTTAGTTTTACAGTGAAATGTTTTTAAAACATTTTGATACATTTTGTGATGTTTAATGCAAATTTTGTCAAATACACACATTACTGTTCAACACGTGCTACGCATGTGTACGGCAAAAAAAGGTAAAATAGCAAAAATACAGCGATAATATTTTACTTGACTATTTATTAAAATAATGCAAAATAGTGAGTCCGCAAAATCCCCGGGGAGTTGAACCCAGAACCTTCTGTGAGGGGATGGTGCTGACCACCACACCACCGTGCCGCCCCAATTGTTTTTAAATTTGTATTTTATTTCTGGAAATAAACTTGCGACCCCCCTGTTTCTGGCTGGCTGTGGGTCCCGACCCCCCCTTTGAGGCGTGTGCGGCCCCCCCGGTGCCCTGCTCAGTGCTCTGTGCTGCTGTGTGCTGCAGGCTGGGCGTGCAGCGCGTCCGGAAGCCTCGCTGCTGCAAGGGGCCCCAGGGCCTGCTGCCCCGCTACTCGTCCACGCAGGCCGACGGCCAGGAGCAGCTCTTCCGCCTGACCGACAACATCCACTCCGAGCTGTGAGTCCTCCCCCTTCACGCTCACACAGGTGCCCTCACGTGCGCGCCCGCTCTAAGGCCTCTCCCACTCCAGCTTCATCGCGGTGGAGCCCATCGACAGCTACTGCGTCCTCATCTCCTCCAAGGTGGTCTACTTCCTGAAGCCGGGGGACTACGTGGACCGGGAGGGCATCTTCCTGGAGGTGAAGTACGACGACCTGTACCACTGCCTGGTGTCTAAGGACCACGGGAAGGTCTACGTGCAGCTGACCAAGAAGGCCGAGAGCACCAGCAGCGGGGTGGCTATGCCCGGACCCTCCCACCAGAAGCCCATGGTGAGCTGGGGGCGGGCGGGGGGGGTCATAGGGGCATAGGCTCCCAGCGGACAGAAAGCAGATATCTGGTATATTCAAGTAGATGTAAATCTAAATGCACTTATATGTTGCTTTTCTAGTCAGGCTGACCACTCAAAGCACTTTACACTACGTGTCATCTAGGGTTGTCACGATACTAAAATTTTCAACTCGATACGGATACTCAGGAAAATATTCGATACTCGATACCATTTTCGGTAGGATAAAAACAAAGACCCCAAAATGTAAGAAAATAAATTTAGGAAGGTTGGTGTCTTTGGTTTCAAACTGACCTGTTACTGATGTTATGGTGGCCAGTGGCCCGCATTAATGACCCTAACCCTCACCCTCCATCCTTCATAATTGTGAGAACTAAATATTTTTTGGTTAAACTTGTTTGGACTTATTGTACAAACCTATTTAACATCCACTATTTTAACATAATATTATGTATATAGTTTAATTCAGTGTTTGAAAGAAGTATTTCACTATTTTTAAATTCATGTCTATATTGCCATGAAGCAATTAGGATTGTCTTGCCTGGGATCTTCCTACTGGTGACCTAATCAAAATGGCCGACTTGGATGTGGGGGAGTTGGATATCCATCCTTCGCTTCCTGCAGTCTGCAGCCAGACGGACTTGATTCATGTTGGCGTGTTATTATTATCCATTAGCCGCAGCTAGCAAATCAAGGCTAACATCACGTTACTGTTGAATTGCCGGGGGGGGTATCGATACTTTTGAAAATGAGTATTGTATCTGCATACGATGTTTAAGTATCAATACTTTTGACAACCCTAGTGTCATCCACCATTCACACACACATTCACACACACGTTGCACCAGTGGACACACCAGATGCAACCAGTGGGTAACTTGGGGTTCAGAGCCTTGCCCAGGGACTCTTGGACATGTGGTCTGGAGGAACATGGAGCTGATCCCCTGACCCTCCAACCAGTGGGCAGCTGCTCTTTCCTCCTGGGCCACCCCGGCAGCCTCTGGCCGGCGGTGAGGAGCCTCACCCTCTCCTCTCTCCTCCGCAGGTTCACGTGAAGAGCGAGAGCCTTGCAGTCAAGATCTCTCAAGAAATCAACTATGCCAAGAGCCTGTATTACGAGCAGCAGCTCATGCTGCCCGCCAGTGAGAACGAGGACTCTTTGCTGCTGGAATCCTGATCAGGACTTCCTCAGAATGGACCCGGAGAGGCCTCTCCGCCCCCGGGGGGGGGCAGGTCTCGGCGTTTTGTTGGATTTGACGCACTGAGGTCAGACGTTGAACAAAGCACACTCGACTTGGAGAAGCCAAGTATGGCCTGGCTGGCCCTGTGGGCCACAGAACCCCCACCCAGCGCGTACACAGGTATCCAACCCCCGCACGGGCCAATAATGTGAACTCTAACTGCCTTTACAGCTCTATTTTGTGTACCAGACTATCAAAGACAGGGAGAGCGAATTGCACTGACACAGGGAAGGGAGGGACCTCTCTGACTGTGGAGTTACCTGCCACTGTCTGCTCTGCCTTTTCCACTCACAGACAGGTCCGTCTCATCTCTCTGCTTGTATTTAATAAAGTTTTTTAACGAGCCCTGTTTTGTTTGTAGAAGACATGCTGTGTGGCCTGTCAGGGGTCGGGTGGGGACTCCACCTGCATCAAATAAAGCACCAGACTGCAGCTCTCTGTGTGACCCCTGTCTTTTCCTGACCCCACCTGGACCACTGAGTGGCTCCAGCTGTTTACCGTGTCTGCTGCCATACGGATGGCTCTTCCTTTGCTGCTTTTGCTGCTTTTTTCCTTATTTCCTGTGAGGGAACACACCGTTTTATGCGGGGCGTCACAGAGCCACCCTTCTCTACCGGTTCCATTAGTATCTGAGTGCCTGAAACATCTCCATGCAGACACTGGAGGACCTCAGCCTCCTTCACAAGTCCAGTCCACTATGTGCCGCCTTGCAGACGGTCCCGGTGCTGCAGGTAAATAATACAGTAGAACCTCTACATAGGAGTTTAATTAGTTCCAGGTCCTACTTCTATATTAAATATTGGTATGTTGGTTCAAATCTTCCATCAGAATACACTGTAATTCCTAGAATTGGTTCCAAAAACCTACGATAATTCCTTAATAAATACTGCAGATAATTACACACAGCAATGAAACAAATTCATTATAAAAGACATATGTAAAAAGAAACAAATTATAAAGAAATAATCAATAAAAAGCTGATTTTATTGGCAGTCATGGGCAGACTGAGATGCAGGACAAACCCTAACCTACTCTATCTGTCACTATGTGAAGTTTAAACTAACTTGGCTTATTTATTTGTATTTAACTTTTAGATTTTATATATATTTTCTATGACTTCGACATCATTCATTCTTATGTTGGAAATTTACTCCGGGTGTCCATTCGAATATTTGACTAAATGTCACTTTGTGATTTGGAAAATTGGAATGTTTAGGCGGTCGTGGGCAGAGGTTCTGCTGTAGGTGGCAGAAAACAGGAAGAAGGCTCCATCTTACCACTGGAGCTGGCTTGGCTCCTGCAACGATGCACACCAGAGTGAAGTTCTGGGCTTCATAGCGGCTGAACGGGGCCGGGCTGTTGGCTGCCACCACCGAGATAGACTTGGGAGGAACTGTAGAGAAAACACAATCCAAGAAGGAATCATTCCTACATGGACATGGTTGGGAATTGGTTCTTTAGTTAGTTTAGTTTTTTTGGGGATCCCAGGACCGCATTGTTGATCCCTGCCGGTGGTCGGAGGCTCAGTCTTGGATCTTCTACTTGGCCGAATGGCTATTCCATACATGATTCAGCCATGAAAACAAACTGGGCCAAAACAATGGCATACAAACCGATGATGGTGAGGATGATGCTGCTGGAGGCTACAATCACTTTGTCTCTGGAAGTCCTGTCGTAGCTCGCCACGTGGCACTCGTAGTGGCCATCGTCCTCCATGTGGACTTCAGGAAGTCTGGTCACATGGGTTAAAGCGAGACTGGTTTGTTTTTTGCTGTCAACAAAATACCCTGCTGTTTGAAACTTCTCGTTATTCTTATGGGAAAACCCAACAAGGTTTGTCTCCTGGCTTCTCATCCTTTCAGGTGCAAACCTCTCTAGGTTCCTTAAAACTCTCGGAGTCTCTTACCGGACTGTTGACTGGTAGACCAGGTGGTCATGCCCCTGCACGTCTTCCAGGTGTGAGGAGCTGCTGTTGCACATGGCGTCATAGGTGAAAATCTTTTGCTTGGCCTTGCCTCCGTCGATTACCTGCAATGGAACAGTGTCTGCACGCTTCAGCAAACCATATTTACAGGTAAGAGAAGTCCACTGTCTCCTAAGTCTGACCGGTGATTCAGATTCTTCCCTGTGTTTCAAGGAGAGGTCCTTCTTTTGACCTTTTCCTGTCCTCCTGTTTCCTTCTTTGTGGTAACTACCACCTCTGACGGACACCCAGCAGACGTGGGCAGACACTTAAAGGTCTGGAAGCAGGAAGCTGCTCTATCTCAGGCTTTCTAAACACAACATGCTTAAGTGCCGTCCTCACTTTAGGGGCGTTGTAATTATGGAAAAGTAAAGTAGGTTTAATGTCTGTGCCATGGTTTGGAACAATGTTCTCTTGGGTCAGATTTAAGAGAACAGCTCACGAGCATCATCATGACAGACTGCAGAGCTCCTTGATGGGCCCTGAAATAAACTCAACTGAAATAAGAGCCAACACAATCACAGGGAGAACTTAGGGAAGACAACCCAAAAACTCCAACTCATGACTCCAGTCCTATAAGTGAATCTGAGCCAAAGAGATCTGATTTCTCTGCCTCACAAACGATGTTTAACCTGACACAGACCTTTTTATCCAGCCTCAAAACCTAAATGGAAGAGGACTTAGACATCTCCGTCTCACATTTATATTCTTAAACTCGTCAACACAAAATAATTGTATGCACGTCACCATCTATTCAGTTAAAAAAAAATCACAATGACCTCTTCTTTGTCGTTTTTCCTGGTGTGTTTGTGGTGAAGTCCCCCCATATTGTGACAAAACCTCTGACCAGCAGCTTGTGAAAGTATCCTCACCTGAAACCACACGATCTCCCGGAGGTCACCGTCTGTTTGGAAGTTGCACTTGAGCGTGACTGTGTCTCCGATGACGACGGGAGGAAGAGGCTCAATGGAAACAGTCAGGTACCCTGTCAAATGGAGAAGAATGGAACATATTAGGATTTGAGTTATTAAGCTGCCCAAACTGAGGAGATACTGTGTAACACCACTACAGGGTTAATAACGAGGACACTAAACCACCAATACAGCTTCTATCACTCTTTTTTTCCCCTCCTTATTCCAATTCAGGATTTAGGGAGTTGGAGTTTGGTACCAAGTGTAAAGAAAATCAGTATACAACAAAAAGGGTTGCCAGGAAAACTATTGCTATGTCTTGAGTTCTTGGGATTGGTAACCCTGACCCTGAAATAAAATAAAGTATTTCAGATGAAGTGCAGGTGGAGGTACTTTGAGGGAGCTTCAGGGATCTGGACAGCGTCTTCAATGCTGATATTTCCAGAGACACAGTGATCACACTGAAATATCCAAGTTTCCAAAGATTTCCCGCTCTAGCAGCAGCCTTCAGCTCTTCAAATCTGCCAGAAACCAGATTGTTTTCGGTGGATGCCCCCTTAAACCGTCACCCAGAAATGTTTGAACCAGTTGTGTTGTGCTTAGATTCAGTCCGAGGGAAAGGGCTTTTCTGCTATAAAATCCAAACATAACCATGAGCCTCAGTCGTCCATCCTGGAGAGCTGACCGTGTGCAGAGTTGGGCCGGACTCAGAGCAAAGGCACCTTGTGGAGCTGGAGCTGGAGCTGGAGGCCTCTGTCATGAGTCTGCCTCACCTCCAACACCAGGCTGTACTGCATGACATCACCCTGCCCAGAGATTATTTTCCTCCCATGTTTTTGCTCTTAATCCTCCCTGCGGCTTTGCATCCAGAGAGCCGGCCGTTCTCCGGGCTCTGGCCTCCCCACGCTCGCATGTGCAGCGGAGATTACCACGCACTGGAATAACACTCAATTAGTTTAAAGGAATGAACCAGCGGTTCAGAGGTCTGTCATAAACAGAAAGGAACCATTTCTGAGTCACAGACTCAGCGCCTAAAACGCTCAGCCGCTGTACAAAAGGACAAAAATGGCCTTCCTGGGGATGCTGCGCTGCTCTGAGAGAGCCAGCTAAACCACTTTAAAACTGAAACACTGCACAGGACCTGCAGTTTAACATCCTTCATTTGCTTGGTAAGGCACCAGTTCTACTCTATAAAGGCCACAGTGTTTAGAAAAGTGCTGAGCAACCTCATTTCTTAGCAGGAATGTTCCAGTGTTGACGTTCCATCGATAAAACCAAACAGGGGAGGACTCCCTTGGGGAGTTCATCCCTCCAGACGGCCCCCGGGAGCAGAGGCCTGGGGGGCTCCAGCCAGCTGCGGGTGAGTTGAGTGGATACCGGCCCGGGATTAATAATCAGGTTTTTTTTTTCTTTTCGTTTGAACAGTCACAAGCATTTAATCGTTTTAAAGTACAGATTACCGTGCGCAATATGGGTCAGAGTCAAACAATGGACTGTTTTATCCCAAAGAGAAAATCACCAAACAACCTTATGTAACATAATGGAAGTGAGCTCAGCGGGAGACAGAGACTTAACACCTCATCTAATACAGCCCCATCACCCTCATAAGCAGGGAGAGGTGTGAGGGACGGGGGGGGGGGGCAGCCTCTCTCTGTCACCCACCCTATAGCGGCAGCTGTGAGACCCCCGTACTGTTTATAGGGTTACTCCACAAGCACCACATCACACTTTGAGCTATGAAACGTTTGAAATAACAACAGCGAGCAGCAGAGATGTGTCAGAGATTTAGCTTATCCTTCCTAACTTGAACTGCTTAAGTTTAAACAAACCACAAAGAGACACACACTCGTAGTCTCTCTTGACTCCTGCAGAGGGGGAGATGCTCATAACTCCACAGCTCCTGCTGCAGCAGTCCGTATCCGTGGTAACGCTGGGGCTGGGGGGGGACAATTGTTGCTCAGCATACAGTAATGTACATATGGAGAAGTTAAATCCGATATAGTTTTGGGTTAACAGGGAGTGCGTGACCCAAAACGTTCCAAAGTCTAAAACTGAAGTTTGACATAAAACTAAATTGAGAAGTTTACGACCTGAGACATCCCATGTGGTAACAAAGTGAGGCACCACACATTTTATGAGATAATAACTATAAATCTCTAAATAAATGCATTGGTCAGGTTTGAATGACCGTTCATGCTTTGCCAAATCCCCTGTGCTGCCCTGTGGCTGTGACCCAGGAGGAGAGGGGAAATGTGAGGAGCTTTGTAACCAGTTAGACCTTCACAAACTAACCAGGAGACAATCAGGCCAGCAAGCATCAGAGTTCAGAAAGCCCCCCGCTCTGCCCCTGACCGTCTGCTGCTGCTCCCCCCCGGGGGGGCCGTACTCACCCAGAGAGCAGGAGGGGACGGCCAGGAGGAGGAGGCAGAGGCTGAGCGGACCGGTCATCCTGCCGAGGGCCCGCCGCGGCTCCATCCGTGCTCAGGGCGGGGGACGTGGTGGGGGACGTGGTCGGGGACGTGGTGGTGGACGTGGTCGGGGACCTGGTCGGGGCG